GGGAAGGAGTCTGAATGTCTTCTTCTCTATCAGCAGCAGGTGTTGCTGGAAAGCCCCCTGACACCTGCCCAAGTTCATGATAAGGGGTCTGCTCCAACCTTCTGTGGAGGAAGGCGGGGGGGAAGGGGGTGCAGGAAGGCAGGCAGGTGGGCTATGGGCCAAGGGGGCCGGTGAGGAGGGGCAGGACCCATAGCAGAGCTCTTGAGCCTGAAGGCCCCTGGGTCCCTCCTTGGCTGTGGGCTCCCACTGTGTTCTGATGAATGGCTGCCTCCTCCTGGCTGCCCACTGCTCAGGCCTCAGGACATGGGTTGGACTGGAAGGATCTGGACATTCACGCAGGGACGAGGCCCATGGCAGGAAGGAGCTTGCCTTTCAAGGGTATCTGGAAGCAGGTTCTGGTTGTCGGGAACAGGGAGGCACAGGGCAGCTAAGAGCTTGCAGACGTTCATGGGGCACATCAGGGCCCCTGGCCTTCTTCTTCCTCGTGAAGGTTCCCCATTCGGGGCAGTGCCACCTCCTACCTGGTCCTTGCTAGGGAGGGGGTAACCTGCTGCATCCCAAGACACAAGGACACGTGGCTGATGATGGTCGGCTGTTTGTCTGAGGTGAGTGCCTTCGTGGGGCAGTTGGGCTCCCCGCCCATGGCAGAACCAGCGCACGTCCAGGCCCTATGGTCCTCGCTTCCAGTCCTCGCCCTGCCGCGGGTCACATGCAGCAGCTGGTGGCACACAGCCGCGACAGATGGCACTGACAGGCAGGAACGGGAGAAGATGCGGGGGGGGAGCCCAGGAGATGCTGGTGGCCATCGGGAGGAGAGGCAAGCCAGCAGGCTGTTGTCCAGAGTGACAGCTTGCATATGGATAAACACAAGATAATTAATTTTTAAGGGGAAATAAAGGGAAGCAGAGCTCGCTGCTGCTGCCCTGCTCCAGCCCGAATAGCACACGCGGTATCTCTGCATCCTCAGCCAGAGATGTTTCTACGTGAAGGCCAGCGGGTTACATTCAGCTGTGAAGTCATTTGTCTACGGCTGGACCCCGGTGCTGCTGGCGAGGGCCTGGCTCTCTGGAAAGTGAACGCTTGGAAAATAGATAAACGGATACGGACACTGTGTGAGGTGCTCATGGAGTTTAAAGGTGAAGGCGAAGCCAGTGGGCGGCCACAGCACATGCAAGATGCACCACGGCAAACAAAGCCACTGGGTCCTGCAGGCAGACGTGGCATTCACTGCAGCCCAGCAGGGAGATGAGACAGAAGCCAGAGAAAACTGTGAAGGTGGAGCAGGGGGCCTGTCCAGGTAGCAGAGAGGGGAGCCCGTGCTTCCAGCGCCCCGAGTCCTGCTGGACAGAGCGCAGAGCTGTGCATGGCAGGGACAGTTGGGTGCCCCCGGGCTGCTGGCCACGTTACCCACCAGCCACAGCCAGGGCAACCCCATGATGGGGACATGGATGAGACACGACGGTTTCCCCACACAAGGACCAACAGTGGGATCCCAGACTGTGCCCTACAGGGTGCACACATGTGCCCAGCCAGATGTGATGGGAGCCTGGCACAAGTGAGCCACCCTCCTGGGCTGTCACGGCCTTTCATGGACTCAGGCATTGCCCCGCCGCCACGATCACTGGCAGACACAGGTCTGTGCTCCTCTCCCCTCCTGCTCTGGGCCTGTGAGAGCAAACGCGGGCTCTCCCCGCTATCTGGGAAGCAGCGCTGGGCCCAGGCCTCCGTCCACTCCTGTCTTCCCCAGGGACGCCCCTCTGCAGGGCAGAGCCCCCAGAGCCCTCCAGCCACTCACTCCTGATTGCTGGTGCTGGGTTCTGGCCAGAGAAGCACCAAGGGCTCCCAGGCTGCACAGGCCTGGGGGACACCTTGCCCCGCACCATCTCTGGGCACCATCACTGCCAACACCCGTCTCTGGACCTCGGTGGCTCCAGCGGACACTGTGTCCGGCCCAGAGTGAGGCTGGATGAAAGAAGGCAGGCATGGGAGAACCCGAGGCCGAGGTGCCCATGGCAAGTTGGCCCAGGGGAGGTTCTCAGGGAAGGTTTCCTGGGCACCTCTGTGCTCCCCACTTGCCATCAGCGCCCGGCACGCTCCTGCTTAGGCGTCCCTGTCCCTCTCTGAGAAGTGTGGACGTCACACCTGTCACTAAGGCCTAAGGTGGCCCTGCCAAGCTCTGGGTCTCCTCACCGTGAAGAGCAAAGGCACCACCTGAGCCCAGACAGAACCTGAGTGAAGGCCGCACACTGATGTCGCTTGGTCAACAGACAGGAGCGCACAGTGGTGGGTGAGAGATCCCCGGGGTGTGACACAGGCCATCCCGCACCCCGGCCGCGTGAGGGACACCCACTGGCACTTGGAGGGGTGGGGGCAGGGCATGTGGACGGCCGGCTGTTCCTCGTACTCTTAGTTTTCCAATTTTTCTGGAAGTTTGAAATTATTTCCAACTAAAACTTGAAAAAAACTGAGAAACCGTCTTCAGCCATCCTGACTTCTGAATGTTAAGTCCGTCAGTCCTCAGCAGTCTGGGCTGTACTGAGAATTTACGTGTCACAGGAGGACTGAGGTTTGCAGGGCAAATGCCATTTCCAAAGAGGACGTCCACACTTGAAGCAACGTGTCCTGTAAACAGAGTAGATCCTGGCTTTGGAGACATTGTCCCTCTACACCTCACCACGCGTGGCTCCTCCCCCTCATTAATGACCGAGGTCCCCAATGAGACAACAGGTTAGCTCATTTCCACTGTGACACGTCACGAAAACAACACAAACATGCTTCCTTCAGGATGGCCTGAGCCTGCCCGGGTTCATGCACACGCCACGGTGTCGACGGGCTCCCGGGAAAGACACGGTCGTGAGCAGCTCTCGTGGAGGGGGGCGGGGAGCCAGACAGAAGCTGCCCATGGGCCACTCTCCCTCCACAAGGTCCCAGGGGTGACAGTGACAAGTGTCTCTGAGTCCCCACTCTGAAAGGACAGAGGGAGGGAGATGCAAGGTGAGCACGGCCCTCGCAGGTAGCATGTAGGAGGCCCGAGTCCCATGGTCCGGATGAGGGGTCGGTAACTCAGGCCATGGCTGGCGGTTCCTGCCAGCAGAACCAAGGGAGAGAGGGCAGCCTCCCCGGTCACAGGCTGCACATGGGGACCCTGAGGCTGGCATGTGGTCATCGAGGCAGCTCTGTTCTGGATGGTCACACCAATTCCTTGGGCAAGCTGGGAATGTTCTAGAACACGTAGCAGGAGCACTGAATCCCCCGTCTTCATGTTTAGACAGAGGTGTGCCCACGGCGTGCCCTGTGGGGAGGGACTCTGGCTCCCTCAATCCCTCCCGCCCCCACGACCCCCAGGGCCACCTGGGGAAGCACACACTTCCTTCTGTCTGTCAAGGGCCGGAGCCGCAGGTCTTCCTATTTAAGTGCATTCCAGTGCTGAGTGCTCTTCAGACCGTGGCAGTAAAGATGGACGAGAAGCAGTCAGGCGGGTGGGCTGCACCCCAGCTGCGAAGCAGGTAGATTTCGTTGTAATTGCAGGGGGAGATGCGCCCCGCGTGCACCTGGAGGCCGGATCGTCAGGGGAACGGCACTCGGGGGACGCAGTGGCAGGGGACGCTGTCTGTGCTGCTGGCTGGGGACTGACGCACACGCCGTGACGGACCAGGGGCCCTCGAACTCCCCCCGGCCATCCCCGACCCAGCAAACAGGCTGGGTGTCCAGGCGGGGAGGCAGCCCATCACCGCACGGACGGCAGGACCACCGGATGCTGGCGCAGATGACCTGGGTACGAGCACCTCCACGAGGAGGCAGAGGACTGAGGGCGCAGGCCATGAGCCAGAAGAGGACTTCGAGGAGTGGCTGAGGCTGAGGGCCCGAACCAGCCGCAGAAGCCCAGGCAGAGGGTGGTCAGGAAGCAACAGTTACGGTTCAGGGCCTCCAGGCTGTCCTGGAGAGAGGCGGGCGTCTGCCCGAGGGCAGCCAGGAGCCTGCCTGCACACCGTGGAGGGAGCGAGGGTGGGCCTGGAGGCCTGTCACAACTGGGCAGCAAAGGCCTCGGGAGCCCAGCGAGGTGCCACGGGCTGGCCCTCCACCCGCGGCCCAGGTGAGGGGTCTTGGGCAGACGGAACACCTCCTTCTTGACGTCACTGTGAACGTTACCGTAGGATTACACTGAAGACCACCCCGTTCCACCCATGTGCTTGGCAGTCTCCTCAACCCCCCACTTGAGACACGGACACCGAGGCCACAGGCGAGGCTGGTGCTGAACGGAAGAGTGGGGCTGCAGGGAAAAAGAAGCTGCTCACTCCTCGTAACAGAGATCCCTTACGTGGGCATCCAGCCTGCACGTCGGCTTAGACAAAGTAATCTCTTTTTAAACCAAAATTCCAGCTCCCGCCAACCCCAATGTCTTCTGAGATTACCATTCGCTTACGACCAGCAGATTGTAACTATTAGAATCTTCACTGAAGTAAGACAATAATCTCCCCTTCTCCCCCTGCTTCACCCTTGTTGACTCAGAGTAACGGTGAGAGCCACCACTCAATCCAGCGGCTCGGGGCAACCTTCGTGTTTGGGCCTCTGTGAGTCGCCCACACTGGCCTCGTGAGGCTCCTGGAGCTGGCCACACCTGCCCTGCGTTCACTGAGTGGGGACAGGGCCCCGCCTGCACAAGTTTTAACCAGATGGCGCCTACAACAACCTGTTTTAACAAGGGCTGTCCTGAGGCTGTCACAACCTGCCTTGCAGTATCCCTGATGGATGGAGCCTGGGGGGCAGCGGAGCAGAGCCCTGGAGGTCAGGCCCAGCACCGTCCACACGGCCATGGTGCCCAGAAACACCACCAGCCAGGACCTTTGCTGTCCAGGAGGAGCCGTCCCCGTGTGGTGGGGGCTCCAGCCCCAAAGCAGAGACCCTCACCCTCTGTGGCTGGCCTGCTGGGCAGCCACGGCCGCGCAGTCACAGCCATGTGATGCCTGCGTGCTACCCGCTGAGCTCAGAGAGTGGCTCACCTGCGTCTCCTTTTCGTTTCCTTCCGCGTGGAGCACATAGGGGCAGCCCTCCTTCTTCGGATTTTCTGAGACAATGCGTACCTCGACGCCTGGCAGCGGGGTCCCCACAGAACCTGCAGAAGAGGGAGGACAGGGCTGCAGAGAAAGCAGAAGACCCCAGAGCCACGGGGACAGGGCTCCGCGTGGTGCATGCGGGTGGCCACCCGGCTCTGCAGCGGCCAGCACTCAGCCGCCCATGGCCTGTGAGGCCCAGCTCCGAATGCTCCAGAGCTCCATCACCTTGGGGAGGCTCTCGGCACCCGGGCTGGAGGCTGGGGTCGCTGCCACGTCCCTGCTAGCAGATGGCTGTGCAGTAAGGGCGCGGGTGACAGTGGACTGTCCCTGGGGGGCATGAAGAGCACCTGTGCACAAGAAGGCCCAAGAGGGATGGAGCTGGCAGGTGCAGAATGCCACCAGCATTCTGGTTCATTTATTAGGCACCCACGGTATGCTCAGTGTGTTTATCCCACCCGGAGCACCCGGTGGAGTGGCCTGCTGCGCCCCGAGTCCCCATGGCCACTCTAACAAAGGACCAATGTGGGCAGAGGTCCTGACACCAAATGCCCAGCATCTGTGAGGACTCAAATCAAGGCTTCAGGCCCTTTATTTTAACCACTGGAATCAGTGAGGATCTGGCATGGGACAAATGCCTGGAAGGCTGACTGTACAGCTCAACATCAGCTCGGGATTCTGGGATCCAAACTCCTGGGAAGGTCAGTTACACAGGCCTCGTGTTGCCGGAATGGCACCGCACTGTCCTTATAACCTGTCTTCTGCATCTGAGGTCCTGGGGGGCGGGGAGGTCAGGGCCGTAACCAGAGGGCTCTCAACTGTCCCACACCCTGGTGGCGGTCGTGCCCCCACTCTGGTCAGGAGCCCGTGTCCCTGCCTGCTGGGAAACACACCGATCAGCTCCCTCCCGTCCCCCTGTCTTCTTGTTTTGCTTCCAAAGATTTTAAGTATCCAAGTTAAATCTATATGACATACAATGAATCATCACAAAGTACATTCTGCACATTCACAATGCTGGGCAACCATCACTGCCATCTAGTTCCAGAACTTTCTATCACCCGGAAGGAAACCTGAGCCATCAGCAGCTCCTCTACCCCCGACCCCCTGACCCCTGCCTGCATGGATCTGCGTGTATCTACCTGCTCCAGACTTTTCCTATGGAGTCTGGGACGTGGGCCCTCCCCAGTCCTCTGGCGGTGCATCTGCTCACAGCCTGTGGCCACACAGGCACCAGGACACTCGAGATGCCAGCCGGGAAGCCAGGGAGTTTCATCTCCAGTGTGCAAATGAGACACGGGGACCAGACGCGAGAACCGGCCTGTGAGCCCGGCCCCTCGAGCCCTGCTTCTGGCCTGGCTCAGCACAGGCCAGTGAAGACCAGATGCCACTCCACACACGGTCTAGACACGCTTTCCCAGGTGACCTCGAGCTCCTTTCCTTTTCTAGATTAAATGAATGGTCCCTTTCCTTGTGGATTCTTTTCAGCAACAAGCTTAACTCCTCCCTTGTGTACGCTGCTCTCCCCAGGCCTCAGGCCTGTGCGGAAGGGCTGACAGACACGTGGCTCGGTGGCAGGCCAGGGTCCGAGGTCCTCACACTACTCCCACCTGCTGGTGCGTTATGGCCGGACCTCAGCAGGCTGCCCTCGGTGTTAGTCCTCAGTGACTACAGTGTGTGGTCGTGATTCATGACGAAAACGTGTTAAAGCCACAGAACAGGTTCAAGGGAGAAGGCAGATGGAGTGCAGCAGACGGAGAGGCCAGCCAGGAGGATGCTCAGACGGGCCGTGCGGACCCCACCAGCCCCACCAGCTGCACGGTGCTGCCTCTGGCCCTGACAAGACAATGCTTTCTTGCTGCTGCCCCAGGGTGAGGAGCCTCGACACAGAGAAAACACCAAATACTGTCATCGGCTGACTACCTCCTGAGGCTGGTCAGGTGCCTGCCAGAGGCAAAGAGCCCCACGAGTACTTGGCAAGGATTCGGGAAGAACAATTGCTCATCAACTTCAATACAGAACCTTCAGCAGGACCCCTGGCCTCACTCAGAAACAAAAGCTGGCTCTTCCTCCCCTTTCCTGCTGAGCTCCGCAGCAGTGTGACCCTTGCTTGGCCCCAAGCCCTCCCAGTGCTGCCTCCTGAAGGATGAACCCTGCTCTCCTGCTCCCATCCCTGGAGGGAAGCAAGCAGAGGCTCCCTCCAGGCCCTGGGGCCACAGGGCAGGTGTGTGGCCCGGGGCCGCCTCCAGCCGCCTGCAGCCGCCTGCAGTGGCTGCTAGAGAAGGTCAAGGGCTCCACCCGACATCGCCGGCTTCCGAGCCTGTCACAGTGGTGTGTCCCCAGATGACTCACAACTGTCTGGCTCGGCTACAGATTGGAGCTTCCCATGACCCCCTCGTTGGGCTCAATAATCTGCTGGAGCGGCTCACAGAACCCAGCAAAGCACTGTTTCCTACCACCACCTTCTTATGAAGGTCATGACTCGAACAGCAGATGGAAGAGATGCCCAGGAAGGGGGGGGTCCCCGAGCTCCTGGCCCCCAAGGCACCACCCCCAGCACCTCCTCTGTGTACCAGCCCATAGGGTTTTTATGGTTTTTATGGAGGTCCCATGACTGATGAAGCCACTGGCCACTGACTCAGCCCATAGCCCCTCTCCCCTCCCCAAAGCTTCCACCCCTCCAATCACAGGCTGGTCCCAGCCCCACCCTTAGGGGCTCTCCTAAGCTCCTCTCATGAGCACAGACTCAGGTGTTGGGGAAGGGGCTTCTGTGAACAGCTAAGACCCCCTGGTGGCGCCGATCACCTAGGAAATCCCAAGGGTTCCAGGACGTATGTACTTCTCACCAGAAGAGGGTCCCATAACCGTCCTCCTCAATTCGAAAACAACCAGCCTCCCCACCCACCGTCATCCTCCCCTCCTTTCAATCCCCTGCCTTCTCCTTTGAATATTCTTTAAAAAGCAAGAAACCCTCTTCCCAGCTTCCTCCTGCTCCTCTCTGGCCTTTTCTCCATCTCAACAGTGACCGCTGCCAGCCATTACGATCTTGTGAAAGTGCTGGCAGAATCGTGCTTAATTACAGCATCAAACACAACAATATGACTAAAATCTCCAGGCACAGACAACAACTCCAGCTTCACGGGCCGGAGGTACTGTGGGGTGAGGTCCACCCAGAGAAGACGCTGCAGTCTGCGTGGGGCAGCTGTGGCCCCAAACCACGTCCACCCCGCCTGAGCTGGCCAGACAGAGCAGGGTCCACTAGCAGTAGTCTCCTCCTGCACCCGCAGGGACGGCGCCCCCTGCCAGTGTCCCCCTGGGCGGCAGTGCCGGCCACAGTCAGAAGTGCATGTCATTCTTCTGCATCTCTTTTGAGACCGCTGTCAGCTCTTCCCAGATAACTATAGTTGGCCTGTGGCTCTGTCCAGCATCCAGGGAGGGAGGCAGCTCTGCAGCTGGCCCCGGGAGAATGGGAACAGGCTGATAAGGTCCTGGAGCTCCTGTCAGCGCTCCACGGAGCCCCCTGCAGGAGCCATCAGTGCCTCTGATCTCCACCTCCAATTAGAGCGTGATTAGGCCCAGCAGCGCCAGGCCATGAATTATTCATCCCCCTTCATGGTAACCGCCAGGGACGCAGAGATGGAACAGTCGGAAGATCCGACCCAGGGCCTGACACACCACCCTCTTCGTGCAGCAGGTCCCTCTTTCACGGTTGGCCTTGCCCTGTGTGCCCTGTCAGCTTTGGAGGACCTTCAAAAATGGATCCTGGCGGTCACTGCAGTGACTGTGAGAGCAACGCTCAGAGGCCGTGCAGGCAGCCGGAAGGGAGGGGCCGGCCTGAAGCGACCCTGAGCTGGAAGCAGGCGTGGGGCTCAGGGTGGTTGGCCGCGTCCCAAGCGCACTGTGAGCCCAGCCCAGGCGTCAAGGTGCACGGATGGGACTGAAGGTGCCAAGGAAAGCCCTCTACCAGTTTCTCCAGAAACAATGCCACTTTGCGTTTTTCCAAACCAAAGAACCAGCATTGGTCTCGACTGCTGGAGGCCTGCCTTACAGACAAGGTCACGGGTATCTGACCCCCACGGTAGGAAGAGTGACTACACCCACGCCCTCCTGTTCCTCAAAGTGTCCTTGGGGTTCAGAGCCTTCACGGTCTACCTTCCTCATGGGGGGCTGGAAAAGGCCAGGTCAGTTGGGGACCCTCACCTGACCTCTGCTTTCCCTGCTCACCTGGGGGTTCTCCCTCCACCACCTGGGTGAGCCCCCAGCTGGGCCTCCCTTGTGCCCTCCATCCTGCCCTGGCTCCTGGTCTTGTATTTGCTCTTCTAATGAACCAGAAGGTTCCCCATGCATCTCTGTGCCCCTCTCTTCCCCCAAACTGGGTCACGCTGCTGTGCTCACGGCAAAGCGGGTGTCCCGGTGCCACAGTATGAACATCCGCTCCGTCACACACCAGCCATGTGGCCCCCGACAGCTTGTGTGGTTGCCTAAAGCCTCTGTCACCCCTGCATCAGGGGCTGCTCTGGACAGAGTCTGGCCACTTCTGGGGAAGTCAAGTACTCACCTACCTTCTGACCACCAACCCCACTCTGGGTACGACCCATGAGAAATAAAGGCACATGTTCGCAGAGAAGCTGCACACGAATATGTACAATAGCCCCACTGGTAACTGCAGACACAAACCAGACACAACCCAGTGTCCTTCGGCGGGGGAGCCTGCAGGCTAAGAAACAGTGGCCTGTCCACACCGGGGAATTCTACTCAGCAAGGGAAAGGAACCTATGCCCACATGGATGAGTCTCGGACACATCCCGCTAAAGGACCCAAAGGGCCACGTCCTGTAGGATTCATTGTACGACATTCCAGAAAAAGCACAAGTACAAGAAGGGAAAACAGGTGCGTGCTTGCCTGGCCTGGGGGGAGGAGGTGCTGAGCGCGCAGAAGGGGACGGTCTGAGCTGTCATACCCTTCCGTGTCTCAAGCGTGTGGTCGGCTACGTGTGTTTTCAAAACCTCACAGAACTGAACGTGGGAAGGGTGAACTCTACCGTATGTGCAAGATAAACGGATGCAGGGATATAATCATAGAGCCGGAGTTGTTTTGCTATTACTTCTAACGGGCCCTCTCCTGTGCGGTGGGCCCAGAGGAGGGAATGTCCCATGACTGGGAGCACGCCGAGGTCAGAGCAGAGCACATCCACACCTCAGGCCTGGGCTCTGCTGGCAGCCCAGATGTGCAAGTCTGAGCTAAAGTCAGATGGAACGTCTTAGAGAAGGCTGATGGTAAGCCCAGGGCGGGAAGCTGTCTGCAGCTGCAGGTCATCCAGACACATGGAGGGCCCTCTCACCCGCTGCCCCAACACCCTGCATGGCTCCGGGTGCCTGCACAGGAGGCTCTGGCAGGGGCCCCCGTGGTCTGCATGGAAGCAGCGCTCGCCCTGGGAGACATGCTACTGAGCACACGGATCCTGATCGATCCCATTCTTCCCACTTGTCACCTGGGAAGGACACTGGTATCAAGAACACCTATCTGTCCTCTCCCTGACTGGCCACTTGGGAGAAACGTTGAGTGCCCACGGGAGACAGGCCACAGCCACCTGGCTGGCGCCCCAAGGAAGTTCTCTGGCCCAGCAGGGCAGTGTCCTCCCCAGCCCAGCCCAGCTGAGGGCTTGGGGCAGAGTGGACACAGCCAGCAGGGGCTGCTCATACCTGGCACGCGAGTGGCGGTCAGGGGGTTGGACAGGGCCATGCCGATCTCCGTCATCCCGTACCGCTCCAGCAGAGTGTGGCCCGTGATGTCCTGCCACTTCTCCAGCACAGGCAGGGGCAGGGCAGCCGATCCCGAAACCATCAACCTACCAGCACAACAGAGGCGGTCTTAGCTTCTCGGAGGTGGCCCTCGGCCGGACAACGAAAACCAGACATGCACGGCACTCTTCAGTCAACACCAGTACCTCGAGCTCACAAAAAAACGCCAGTCGGGGGCTAAATGTTAACTCTGTTCTCTTAAAAAGAATTTGTTGGGTGCATCTTAGAGTAAAACAGGTCTTCAAAAGGAACAGGTAACTGAAGTAAAAAAATAATTCTAGGGTCTTTGGGGGCATGCTTTGCACACGACTAATGTGCTGTCTACAAACAACCCTAAATCACAGCAACACTAGTAAGAATTTGGTTTGTGGATGAACTGCTTCCAGGTCTGAGGCGCAGGAGGGGCAGACGCAAGGAGATAGCCCACAGCTGCAGCCGGCGGGCTCATGGGGGTGATACCTGTCACTTTGGCCCAACGCACACGCACCACACTGAGTGTCCTGTTCACGCTGGCCAAGCAGCTCGCTCCGTGTGCCATGAAAGGCTGTGCTTGCCTCCGATAGCGTGTCACATGTCCCCGGTCCTGTGAAAACTCACCAAGCCCCCAACTTGGGTGTGCACTCTCTCAGGGGCTCACCCTTGGGTGAAAATCAGGGAGAAGCATGCTGTGTCTGCAGGGTCATGAGACAAAGCAGAACAAGCCTCATGCCATGGAAGGGCCCGGAAGATCCAGCGCATGTCTGTCAGGAAGGGGGTTTGTCAGCAGGTCTGGGAGGGGCAGGGCAGGGGTGGGCATGCTCCGCGGGGGGACGGGGGGCTTGAGGGCCAGAACGGACAGGGGTGAGCTCTCGTTCTTCCAACTGGACAAGACAGAGACAGATTGACAGAGACAGATGCATCCGGACAGACTCACAGAGACAGAATACAGATGGACACGCAGAAAACACAGCTCACTCTATCCACCAGAGGGGGTGGAAAATACTGCTTCCTACAACTTGGGACTGTTTTACTAAACATGTGATATTAGTTGATCTTTAAGGCTTTCTGGGCAGGAGTGCGGACTGTTTCCATTTACCTAATTTTCTCTTCACAAACTGCACGGACAAAATCCTGGACATGAGGCTGGGTGAAATGTCTGTCATAATAATCCATCAGCTTGGCGTAGATTGTAGGCACTGCCATAAATACATTAACCCGTGGAGTTTCACAACCTAAGAGCTTTTCCCAAACCTAGAAAGGAAAAAGGAGGGAGACGTGAGGAAACATGCACATGCTCAGACGCGTCCAGACACGTCTGGCTCCAGCATGGTTCTCTTGACAGAGACCTCTCCCTTCCTTCAGCTTTAAAGGCCCGTACGTGGCTCCCACTACAGGGCGTGTCCTTGGGTGACACAGCCCCTGGCCTTTCCCGTAGGAGTCCCCCTGTCGGGGACGCTGACGTCTGGCTGCAGGGTGATCTGTGAGGAGGGAAAGCCCCATCGGGAGAGAGCAGGGGCACAGCTCCGGCCTCGCGTCTGCCGTCAGGAGAGAGGGCGCACCTCACACTCTCCCAAGTGGCGCCCGTGAGCCTGTGGGTCAGCGTGGGGCCTGGCTCTAGCAGACACGCAGAGACGGAGATTATGTCAGAAAATATCATGTGGATTTTTATTTCATTTGGTAACCGATGCTTCCTGTGTTAATATAAAGATGCTCCAAGTGCCTCACTGGTTGCAGAGCTTGGGTGTTACCCCCGGTCCTTAAGAAAAGCTGGCTCGGCACCCGCATTCTGTGGTGTCTTCACCACAGTGCTGCCAGGTAAGCCTCTGGTCAGGATGCGCACAGACTGAACCTCGGCACCCTGAACACACGCAGACCTTGCCCCGTGTTCGAGGGGCCAGTTCCACACACCCTGACCTTAAGTGGAAGGGCTGTGTGGAGGCAGGCGTATCTCTCAGGGGAAATAATACCATTCTTTTAACGACAACAATCAGCACCCCCCATATTGCAAAGCATGTAGGGAAAGGGAAAAGGTGACCCATAATTAGGGAGAAAAAGTCAACAGAACCAGACCCTCAGAAGATCCAGATGTTGGAATTATCAGACAAGGAAGTCAAGGTAATTACAACAAATAGGCCTATGGAATTTAGAAGAAAAGATGAACAAAATAAGGGAAAATCGAGGATTTCTTTGGAGAAGTGGAAATACAAAAAAGAACCATTACAGAACGGGAGACGTATTATCTGAAGTCATGAATTCACTGGACAGACTGAGACACGGATGGGGCGGCACCGAAGAAAGGGCAGAAGCAGTGAGACACGGGCTCACGGGAAAGGTCCATGCCGAAGGGGGATGGGATAAGACAGGAGACAGGGCACAGTGAGTGACCTGCGGGCGACCGAGGAAGAACCAGCAGAGCATAGCTCTGGGCCTGGCTGGGACACTCGTCTGTGGGCTCGTGGCCTCAACACAAACGAGGTAGCACATCTCCCCCACCTGAGCTGCAGCATCAACATGCGACCCCCCGAAACTCCAATAAGCTCTGGTTACAGAAACTGACAAGCTGACCCAGCACTCGCATGGAAGGGTAAAGACCCAAAAGGGTCAGAACAGGTGTGAAAAGGGAGAATAAGTGTGGAGGACTCACACCTCTCAACTCTCGAACTTGCTCTAAAGCAAGAGTGACCACTGCAGTGTGGTGTGGGTGGGAGCCCAGACCCCCAGACCAATGGACTGACTGGAGCCCAGAATAAACCAACACATGCACGGCCCACTGTTTGTATGTTTGTAAAGATTCTATGTATCTATCTATCTTAGAGACAGGGTGTGAGAGCAAGCGAGCGTGGGGGGAGGGGCAGAGGAAGAGCGATAGAGAAGCAGACTCTGTGCTGAGCGTGGAGCCCAATGTGGGGCTCAATCTCACGACACTGAGATCACGACCTGAGCCAAAACCAAAAATTGGACGTTCAGCTGACTGCGCCACCCAGGCGCCCCATGGCAAATTGGTTTTTGATAAAAGAGAATCCTCATTTTAGCTGGGGAAAGAATAATCTTTTAAACAGACAGTGCTAGGACAACTGAACACCCACCTGCAAAAGGATGAATTTTAGACCTTTGCCACATACAAAAATTAACCCAAGGTGAATCAGAGACTTAAATGCAGGAGCTCAAACTATAAAACTTCTAGGAAAAAATCTTCATGATCTTGGTTGAGCAAAGATTTCTCAGTTATCACACCAAAAGCATGGTCTATGAAATTAACTGATACAATGGATTTCATCAATACTAGAAACATGTGTTTCAGAAGATACCATTAAGAAAATGAAGAGACAAGCCAGACTGGGAGAAAATATTTGCAAACCATCTATCTGACGAAAGACATATCCAGAATATATAAAGAATGCTTACAACTCGGTAAGACAAATAACCCAATGCAAAAATGGGCAAAAGTTCTAAATAGTTCACCAAGGAAGATATATGGATGCAGATGCGACCATGTGAAAAATGCTCAACATCACTGGTTATTAAGGAAATGCAAACTGAAGGGCACCGGGGTGGCACAGTCGGTTAAGCCTCTGACTCTTGGTTTCGGCTCCGGTCGTGATCTCAGGGTCATGGGATCAAGCCCCACCTCGGGTTCTGTGCTCAGCGTGGAGTCTGCTTCAGATTCTCTCTCCCTCCCTCCACCCTGCTCATGCTCTCTCTCAAATAAATCTTAAAAAAGAAAAGGAAATGCAAATTGAGCCACAGTAGAACTTACCTTGTATCTACTAGAATGACCGTAGTAAGAACTTAAAACAGCAACAAGGGCTGGCGCTGATGTGGAGAGACCCTGAGAGACTAGGGTCCTTGCATACTGCTGGTGAGAGTGTAAACAACAGCCCATGTGGAAAACAGTTTGGCAGTTTCTTAAAATACGAAACATAAACCTGCCCTACAATCTGACAATTCTTTTCCTGCACATCTCTGTAAGGTAAATGAAAACATGTCCACACAAGCATTTGGGTGCAAATTTTCACAGCAGCATGATGCTTAACAGACAAAAACTGGAAGCAACCTGTGGCCCCTCAGACGGTTCATGGGCAAACAAGAGCATGTGTAGCCACACAACGGGGTGCTCTTTAGGAACAAAAAAGCAACCACTCTCCCACATGCTACAACACGGGTGAAACTCAGAGCTGTTCTGCAGAAAGAAGGAAGCCAGACATAAAACACTGCAAGCTCCATGACTCCGTATCCATGCAGCATCCAGGAAACGGACTGTGCAGAGACAGAGGCAGATGGCGGTCGCCAGCGATGGCGTGGGAGCAGGGAGTGAGACAATGGCAGACAACTCTAGATTTATGAAGAATCACTGAATCATTTACAATAGTGACTTTCACAGTATGCGAGTTACATCTTGACAGAGCTGCAAGAAAGACACAATATGAACACTCGAGGGAAACAAGCTGGGAGACTGGCGAGTGAGAGGGGCACAGACCTGAAGGAGGACGTGGGGAGTGCCGCAGAAGCAAAGTCCTGGGAATCACTGTAGAAGTTACGGACTCCTGACTGCTTAAAGCAACAACAGTGACAGCTCGTCGTGAAGATAAAGGAAGGAATAAAGAACAGAGGGCGAAGACAGAAAGCACAGGTGCATTAGAGAAAAGCCTTTGACACAAGAGTGACCAAGAGAACAGAAGGGAAACATGAACCACCCATGTCACAGCTAAAGGAGACATCACCACAGATCCCAGAGGCACTGAAAGCACAAGGAGAGAACTTAGGAGCTACAATGAATTTCACAATTGTGATGAAATGGACAATTTCCTTTAAAAACAAAAACCTACCAAAACTGACAGAAGAAACAAAATATAGATATTATAAGTCTTGATCTGTTAAAGAAATTGAACCCTTATTTAAAAGCCTTGCTGGAGAGGTCTGGCCCAGATGGCTTCCACCATGAGCTCAAGCAAACATTCAAAGGAAGAACAGCCTCAGCCTTACACCAACATGCCCAGGGAGGAAGAAGCCCTTCACAAGGGGAGCACTGTGTTGACACAGGAGCCCAGCAAGGAGGTCCCAAGAGAGCTGCAGACCTGCACTCCTTATGAACACACATGCAAAAGCCTAAGCAAAATATCAGCAAATCTCATCTAGCAATATATAAAAGGACAATACATCTCAACCTTAGGAAGTCTGCTGCAGGGCTGCAAGGTGAGGAAGCTAGAAACATGAAAGACTTTAATCAGCGTATGTAACCGCATTAGCAGACTGACTACAGGGGGAAACAGATAAATAATAAATAAATAAAGGGGCAGATGCCGTGTGATCACCACAGCAGACACGGCCGTCTGTAATACTCTACCCCTCTAAGGTAAGAGCTCTCCGCAGACAAGGAGGCCCTGGGTACTTCCTTGAGCTAACATACAGCATCTACAAAACCAACAGCTAGCATCACACCTAACTGTGAAATGTTAATGCTTTCCCCAAGACTGTGAATAAGTCAATGATGTCCACACCATTACCGCTGCCAAATCAGTGTTACAAAAGTAAAAATTCTCTGTACCACAAGACACTGTTAAAAAAGACACTGGTTTGTGAAACAAAAACCAGACTGGAAAAAGATTCAAAATATGTAATTCTGACAAAGGCCTTTTATCCAGAATATATAAAGAACACCTACAGGTCAATAACAAAAACCTCAATTTAAAAAGATCTTTGAGTGACCAACAAGCACACGAAAAAGTGCTTAAGAGAAAGGCAAATTTTATAATAAAAATGAGGTAGCACTGCACACGCAGAAGGGTGGCTGGAATGTAAAAAGCCCGAACAACTGAGCATTGGCAGGGTTGGAGCTTTGGCGACCTTGTCACTGCTGATGGAAGCAAAGAACAGAAACCAGAGTTCGGCAGTTTCTCAAAGTCAAACACACATGACTCCACGACCCAGTAATCCTACTGCTGGGTATTTACCCCAAAGAAATGAAAATACACATCTGCAAAAAGACTTCCATGGAATGTTCCCAGTAGCTTTACTCATAAAGCCAAAATCGAAACCACCCAAATGTCCACCAACAGGAAAATGGATGAACAGCAGTGGGAGCCTTGGTGATGAGAAAGAATTAGCTGTTGTCACGTGCGATGAATGTCAAAGACATTATGGGGACAGCATGAGACACAGGAGTATAGTCGCTGTGGTCCATCACGTGCAAGGTTCAGAAGCAGATCAACTGCCTTAGAGTAATAAAATTCGACGAGGTGGCTAGAATGAGG